TGCTGGCCATTTAGATGAAACTATCTTTGATAATTTACAGTCTCACAACAGTATATATTAGGTTATTAGTATTGACCATATAAAAACCACATAAACATATCTGAAAGTAATAAAAGTAAATATTTAATTGTGCTTGCCATGTCCAGGCATTAACACAGGATACCATATTCACAATATATTGAATTCATTTAATGTATTAAATATATAATCTCTAATTCTTATGTTGATACATAATACTTTTAATCCTTCAACATATATAAATCATAACATATTATATCCAATGCAAGAATTGTATTAGTGATGGAGCTGGGATTTGAAAACAGGTCCTAGGTCTCTAGGGCATCCATAAGCATTGTTGCCTTCTAGAAAAACTTTTTAAGAAGACATTTTATTTTTGAAATCTATTAGTAACACATCAACTTTAGTAGCAAAAAAATCTGTTTTACTAAAAAACTATGATTTTAGTAACAACAAAATCTATTGCCTTAACATAATAAAAAGAAATATATTGGGGTTTTTAATGCTAATTATTTTTGCTCCCCACCTCCCATTTTATAGCCCTAATTAGGCCAATGACTAGTTACATTAAAGCAGTTAAACCACTTATCTCTCTGGGCTTCCGCTTGGTCATCTACACTAGACTCAGCTGATTTCTGTAGTCCCTTCTAGCTCTAAAATTCTACAGCCCTGCCTATTTTCTTGTAATTGCTAATCCCATTCATAATTACTAACATAGTTCTCTAAGATCCAGTGACAGACAAATACTGCATTGACCTGTTCTAGGGGTTAGTTTAATCTGGAAGCCTGAATTGGAATATATGTCATCTGTATATTCTCTTTGTTCTATAGATATTTGTAAAGAACTTTACCCAAGCATTTATTCAACAAAACGTCAAAATAATTGCCATATGAATAATTGGGCTATGCTCAGTTACATCCAAAGTACACTAGTATAAATGTATAACGCTCAATTGAATTGATTCATTTTAGACAAATTTCTCACCTGTTGTCACAAGATTGACGATGCTTGGGAGTAGCTAATATGAATAAGCATACACAGAAATACAAGTTGTAATTTAATTTACTTTCTTCTGAACATGCTTTCAGAGACTTCTCAGTATATCCTACTACCAGTCTGCACTAGGAAATTCACTGCATGATCTTGGTCATAACATAAACAACTTATCTTGGCATTTATTTTCATTATCATTGAGATGAATTCGTAATACATATTTTATCACATGGTGAAATTCTATAGAAAATCTCTTTAATGGTGTATCAAATTTTACACTTTTTGTGAAGTCATACCATATTATTTAAGAACAATTTAAATAGCAAACAGTTACAACAAGTTATGAGAAAAATAATACTTTGAGATAAATAGTATTATTAATTACTTACCCAGAATGTTCAGTACAATTACGATTACCAGAAGGATAATATCATTGCACATACAGCGTTCACGTCAATTCCATGATGGTGAGAATCTACAAAATTGGATAGATTTCACTAGGAAACCCAGCAGGTGGTTCCTTAGAGATGGTAAGAGTTAGGAGAGAGCCAAATAAACTTTCTCATCTATCATGCTCCTGAGTTACTTTCCTTTGAAATATGTAGACCCGGCTTATTATGTTTTTGTTTGTTTGTTTGTTTTCACACAAAACACAAATACGTGTGTGTTCTCTGGTTTGAATAAATATGATTTTTTCCTTATGGGTTCACTGTACATATTCCCCAGTGTTGATCTTACTTATGATCACTGTCTGTGTCTCTGGATTTTCATATAATACTGTGAAATCCTCAAGATTCTCTAATAAACTTATTGACAATACCCACTTATTTGAGTTGATCCTTTCTGTTTCTTCTCTTATATCCATTTTTTTTGTGATATATAATTGTAAATACATAAAACCGTACATTTAAAATTAAAAGAATTGTTACAGATTATTTTAGTGCAATACCCATGTGTTAAAATGGGGATATTCAAGTTCACAGTCACGCAGTTACTTGTGAGCAGAGCTGATAGCTAACCTCATATCTCTTGAAAATCAGACTAGTGCTGCTTTCAGTATCCACACTATTTCATTGCATTTTGAGTACTACAAAGATAAATAAACCAAATAAAAGAAGCTGTATTTTTAGCTTTAGGCTGAAAGTTTAAAATAACAGTCTCTGGTACATAAAAGGTTACAGTACATTGTTTCCACCACGTATGTGACATAAAAGAACAATACACTGAGAAAGTACTGAAAACAGCTGATACTGAAACATAACTATATCAAGACTAACTGGAATATTTATTTGGTAGATTATTATTGAGTGCATTGTTTTATGTCTTAATTATTATTGTTATTAATTAAAACATCTTTAATAAGAATTTGTTAATTTTCAAAACATTAAAAGAAGTTTACATATTTTCACTCATCAGACAAAACAGTCAAAACTGTGGGAGTCAAATCAGTCACAGAGAATGTGGTGATATCACTACACATTTCCTTTCCTTCCTTCCTTCCTTCCTTCCTTCCTTCCTTTCCTCCTTCCTTCCTTCCTTCCTTCCCTCCCTCCCTCCCTCCTTTCTTTCTT